ACCGTTTTTCTACAAAAGGCCCCCTGAATGTCATAGCACAAGAAGGTATTTTTTGTTACTTTCTAGCACAGTGGAGGTTTTTAGCATCGAGGCAGGTGAACTGTAGTAATGCCGGGATACTTGCAGAGTCGGATTTTGTTTTGCCGTTCAGATAAGAGTGATACTTCCCTCACCCTGGACAAGTACCTGGCCAAGCACACCAGCGAAGACAACGCCTCCTTCGACGATATCATGGCGGCGGCGGCCGAGAAGCACCAGCAGAAGCACGCCTGGCTGTACGAGGCGGAGAGAGTCCACGGGCAGGAGCAGAAGGACATGCTGGCTCTGGAAGGACCAAAGGCCGGCAAACCTGCCGAAGGTTCCTCGGTCACCACCTGGGGCTATAAGGCCAAGAACGCCGTGATGTACGTCCCTGAAGGTAAACGTGCTTACCCTAGCTTTTGTGTTAAGTAGCCTCGGTCATAGAGTGTGAGCCCAAATGTGTAAAGCTGCTAACCAGAAATGTAAGCCTAAAAAGAGACTGACATGTTAAACAATAAATCTGTAAGCACCTTTTTTATTGCAATGATATTTGTTTAAATTTTTTTTAAATGTGTCACGAGGTGCATACCATGTTTGATTGCGAAAAGGCCACATTCTGGTTTCAGACCTTCACGTGTGTTTCTCGTAACAGTTGCTAGCAACTTTAGAAACAAAAATAAACTTTCAGAAAGGAGAATACACTTTGGTTGTGACAGTAAATTCTCATTTGGGCAGTATGGACCTGAGACCAGTCAAAGAAATTTGCATAAATTGTTTTAATGTGATTAGTCATACCACAGATTTCATTAGCATTCTATGAGGCACTGTAAAATGGGATGGAAAATGTGTTCTTGGCGGGGGGGGTGTATCTTGTGCCAAATAGTCTTTTGTCAAGCGACGTGTATATTGTATGTGTGGACTGACTTTATCATCACTAGCGCCTCGACTGGAGCCTAATAAAATCTGTCAAAGTTCAGCCCAGCTTTATAAATAAAGCTCAGGTTACGAACCAAATCCATTTTTCACCTAACTTTTCTTCAGGACTGGAGGAAACGCCGGAGGAGCAAATCTTCAAGAAGCCCAAGGTGCAGCAGGTGGTGCACAAGAACACCCACTTCCAGGCCAGTCCCTTCAGCGCCGGACCCGGCCAGAGCTCGGCCCTGGCCAAGTCGGCCGCCCTCAAGGCCGCCCAGAAGTCGGGCCGGGTGGGGCACGACGGGAAGGAGATAGCCTCGTCCTCCGAGACGCCCAAGGTGAACGGATACAGCTTCGTGGGAACGCCCTCGCCTGCACCAGGTATGCTGGTTGACGGCCTCGACCTATATTCTTATTGTGCGATAGCACTGTAGTAGAATCCTGACCCAAGTTCGAGACCAAAATTTAGCACATTCACTGATAGTTTTGTCAGGGATATTGCACTCTCAGGAATTTTTTCCAGATTTCGGGATTTTTGACCCCGAACGCTGGATTAGAGAGGTTTACTCCTCAAGTTCTTGTGAGGTTTTAGCAGTTCATGCAAAAACGAGTAATTTTCTTACAATATTGCCTTGTTAGCTGTAAAAGCCCTTGGAAAGTTTCAATGCCGTCATTGTTACATCCTCCATGCTGGTTTGAAGTTTTGTTGATCTTTCTTCCTCCGTTCAATCTCGCCCATGTTTTGAAGGCGTTGGATGCATATTGCGACTCGTGCATACATGTAAATCCTGAATTCTTCCCGAATCCTTCAAAATCCTACAAATTGTGGTGGATTTAGAGGGATCGGTCAAGTTCATGTTTTGTTCATAAACTTGGTTAATTTCAAGTACGGCAGTGTTGTACGAGAAGTTTTTCTACTCACAAGTTTTGACATTTTTGCATTGGTCGGCAGGCGCGTACAACGAGTCACCAATGATGACATGGGGCGAGATCTCAGGCACGCCGTTCCGACTTGACGGATCGGACACACCGGCCCGCAATACAAGCGGCCCTTCTTTCAAAGTGAGTTGTCCATTGCTAACAGTTTTAGGTCAGACACGTGTAGAGCAGGCCATAAAAACAGTGTACCCGCACATATCTTCATGTGTGGGAACTTGTGCATTTCTTGTGTAAACTTGCAGCATTTAGCACTCAAAAAGTCCAAAGCTAAATGTATTTACTAAAAAAATCTGTGATGTTTCAGTTCAGTCGATTGTTCGCCTTGTCAGAAAAACAGTGGAAACTCATTTGTTGAACCTTGCATAATTTCATTTGTAGTTCTCTGATAGGCTGTCCATACTTACACTCCAGATAACATCACCTCAGAATAAGTCAGAGCACAGCGATACCAAATAATTTGCCCTTGACAGTTTTTCTGATCAAGTGCTGACACCGTGCATCCGATTATCACCATGATTACCAAGGGTCTGTTGTTTTTAAATGTCTTCAAGATTTTGTTTCTTCAAAGAACAGCCTGGTGGGTGCAACAAATGTTAAATACGAGCCAATTTTGATAGTTGTAAACATGACAGACTTCCGTCTGGGTTTTTCAATTGTCTTAAGATGGCAGATGTTCCCAGGAAGGAGCGACTGGGGTTATCCTTGGTGGAGGAAGTTTCAAAGAAACACCGCGCCAAGAAGGAGAAAGCGTTGCAGAAGGTCACCCAGTCACTGGTCAGGTAGGCAGAGAAAACCCTCCAAACGTGGCATCAGTGCGGCAGGCGATACCCCACGAGACCATCACAAGACCAACGCAAGACCTCCAGTCTGTATTCAAGTCACAGTTTATCCAAACGAATGGTTTATCCAAACGAATGGTTTATCCAAACAAAAGCAATCTTTTCTCATCGTTCGCCTTGTTACCTTTGACCGGTTGTGTGTCTGTATTCAGTGGTTAAGACATCCGCACTTGTAAACAGGAGGTAGTGGGTTTGAGTCCTGCTTGAGCAAGCTGGAAAATTTTTTTCCCCTAAAAACCTCTTGAGAAAGGAGCAAATATGCTGTGATTTATAAATAACAAATCAAGCATCCAGATATCTAGGGCAATGTCATCAACATTTAATTCTCTGGCTGTCGTTCATTCCATTCATAGCTGCTTCATTAGTGCAAGTGCAGCGGTGATTTCTATACAGATGTAATAGTGATTTCATAAAAAGTAAGGTTAAAAATCAATATCTGCGGTAAGTAATGACTCTTTTCAGCAAGCAATCTTGAATACTGCAGACTTGATTGTGTAGTCAGTGCAAGGCTTTATGTTAATCTGTCGTTACTTTTTCTTAAACTTGTCAGTAAGTAACATCTTAACTGCAAGATTTTTTTGTTTTTAAATCCAATTTATAAGTGGAAGCATTTTTAATTTGAGTTTGATTTTTGTATGTAATTTTCCTTCTGAACAGCCCGTCACCAAAGAGACTGGGTACACTCGGGACCACTGAGAGATTACGCACTCTGACGCCTGCCGCCCAAAAACTCGTCAACAAAAGACTCTCAGGCTTCAAAACGGACAAGGCCCTGAGGCAGAGCTACACACCCTCACCCACCAGAACCCCTGCTGGGGACAAGACCCCTATCCTGAGAAGCACTCCACGACAAACCCCCTCCCGTACGCCCGGCCAAATGCCCTTAGGGAGTGACGGGGACGTGTCGGAAGAGACCCTGACGGACAACTTGCTGGACCTACCCAAGCGGAGTACCCGAGGCCGTGCAACAGCGGCAGATTTCTTCTGAGGGGAGGGGCGGCAAGTCTTGTGGACATTTTCAGGGGGAGGACACACACGGTGACAGGCATGCCTGTTCCTTAGTTGTGAGAACCCCATGTGTTGCACACTGGCGATAGTTGCGATGACCTAAAAAAAGTTGCCAGAACACACCGAAGTCCCCACAATCCAATCAGATTTCCGTAGCAAAAGAAAAGTTCCCCAGAGTGCAGTGCCAGGTACCAGATCATTGCCGTAAAGACACTTGGTTACCAGGGGTAGTGGTGCTTAGTGGCGAGAGTTTGTAATTCCCCGTCATGAGGGTCAGGGGTTCGAATCCATTTAATGGTGACACGTTGTGGCCCGGGTCAAGGCACTTTAAACCCTACTTAATACCTCTCTCCAGCCGGGAGTACAGATGGGTGCCTGTTGAGGGCAGAAATGGTCTTTGCATTTCATTAGCAGTTTGCAGTTAAAATAAGCAGAATTGACCTGTACACTGCCAAGAAAGCTGATGGTTTCAGAAATAGGTTTACAGGCCTGATGTACAGGTGGATATGTGCACTTTCTACATGTATGTAACATTATCATTCTTATGGATACAGCATAGGAGATGATATTATTGTTCTAAACTTTCAAAGGGCAAAGCAGTGTTGAAGACTAACCTTGTTTGAGTATCCTGACTTTATTTTCGCACTCGTGCTAATGAAGTACTTTCCGGTAGGTTTACATTTTGGATCTATGGAAGTGGCCATTTTGTAGAAACGCAAACAAATACATAATAAAAATGCATTTATTGAATTGCACCTATTGGAAAAGTCTCTCAATTTGATCTGAGTATGTACATGCTGGAGGAGGAACTAGAAGCTGGGAACATTTTGAAAAACATCATAAAGTGCTTTCAAAAACTGTAACTTAAAATATTTTGCTGAGAATAGCAGTGCATTCTTTCCCTTGTCAGTTTGTATAGGTCCACAGTGTGCCAGTGTAGAACATTTTATCTGAGCCAGCCATATTTGAGCTGGTATCCCAACTTGTAATCAGTGGCATGCTGTGTGTCTATAGCTGCAGCTTCTTGGAACCACTCTCACATTGTTCTCAATTGTCGTATAGAGCCTGTATTACCATCGATTCCCCTTCAACAGTCTTTCGTCAGTTGTGACGATACCAAAGTCACAATCACACCTGTTGGACAAACCACTTACTACTCACAAATTGTAGTTGTTGCAAAGTTATTTCCAAAATATATTCAAGTTTCTTCCCACATTCTGAGCTTCACAGTTCCCTGCCTCATCCTGCTTTTAGGTGCCCAACTGGCAGTGATCTCTCCCAGTTTAAGTGCAGTGTAAACATTGAACTTTTACCGTGAATCTTTTTGCCACAACCTTGAGAGACCGTTTGATCTTGTAATGGGAGGTGATTAACTTTTTTAAAAAGTGAACCTAACAGTTGCCAACTGTCAAAGAAAAATTAACTGCTTCAGTTTCAAATGAGTCCACAGTCCTAAACAGGTTGCTTGACATTCATAAAGAGATTAGTCTAACTTTCCACAAAACCAGCTTATGGTCAAGAAAAGGTCTCTAGCCTAATTTGCCATCAGCAAGTCAACAGTAAAAAAAACCCAGACTCTCCACTGAGCCAGCACAGTAAAACCTTTTGCCGAGTGCAAATTGTATTGTTTAGTTCTCCTCTTTTCTGAGTGGAACACGATGTAGTTCTGTTGGACGCACACAGATGCGTTCTTCCGTGTTCCACGAATGAAAGTTGGATACTCCATAGTAGACATGCACAAGAGTGAAAGGAAAACATCTTGATAAATTCACCTAAAATGTCAGAATGCATCTTTTCAGCACTTGTTGGGTAAGCTTTGTCAAAAATTATAGCTGTTACATATCTGAAAACAACATCTCGCTGGCACACTGTTTAGGTTTCTTTACTCCCAACTGTCCCCCCCCCACCCATGGAAAAATAGCCAAATGTTGTTAGCTGCCTCAGCAGGAAGGATCCAGGCTTTTTTCTGGGGGAAACTTTGTTGTCCCAGATGTTGAAGCCATTTAATCTTTCTTTTGTCCTTAACCGATCAATATGCAAATAAAACCTATCCAGGGTTTATCCTTTTCAGGGGCTCTTGCAACCTTTAGACGGAAGCCGCTAAAAAAAAGAAAGAAAAAAAAAGGAAAAAGAAAGCTCGGCAATGGAGGTGTTGGTTTTGAGCCCAGTGGTGTATCCAGCGGAGGAGGGATCAGTTGACCCATCATCAATAATGCCTTATTAAAGTGCCAAACCTTCTGAAGCCAACAAGTAAGAAACGATACTAGGCTAGGAGCACCTTTCTTTGGGGATGATTTTTCTTTTAACACTCGTGGATGAAAACAACTGGATGGTCGTTTCAGAAAAAATAAATCCCCGTGTAGTTTTCTTACACTCAAAACCTAGATTCACCAGGGCCGCCGGGATCCTTTGAATCAGTCGCCGCTGAATTGTATTCACAGCAAAGAGGCGTCAAATAGCTTCAGTACCGGTACAGATTGTTGACTGCTTTCAGATCAGACTTCGTTTCCTCTGATGTCTACGGCTCATGTATGCCGATGTTAAAGTGGCTACGATTTGGGATTAATCATGGGCGTTAGTCGTTGCGAGACTGGGGGGGGGGCGATAAGTCCCCTGACTTTTGGGCACTGAGGAATATGCCGTTAAATTACTTTTCAAGGGTGACAAACATCAGTTGTGAATTTCATTTGGTTGTTGGTGGTGTAGGTCAGGTTGGCACTTGTGGTAGACTATTTGCCCTGTGTGCCACAGCTGTAAAATATACCTCAGAGAATCGAATGGAAAATTGAGCGGTTACTGCACCCGTGCCGTAACCGTCCAGCCGCACATAGTACATTACAGTGTCACAGAAGGGCTCCCTCTAGGGCCGAGCCGTCTCCTGAGCAGTTAAAGGCCCATGCTCACATAGCATGGGTGATGAACGTAAACACAGCGCGGCGTTATACGATCTTTGCTGCGGACCAAATGGTCACAGACGCAGAACCCGTACGTGCCTCAAGCACAGTGCACATGCCCATCTTATTCAGAGGTGACTTCAAGTTGGTCAGCTAGAATAGAAAAATTTCACGAGAGAGAGAAAGCTTAAATTTTGATTTTATAGGCTTTTTTTGTAATTCAGTGTCATTCAAAAGTTAGATTTTCCCCTTACAAATTTTAGGAACATTTCAGAGTCAGATACGTTTAGTACTTTCTTAAGTTGTTTTCTTTGAGAGTGAAATTTTGAGCACTCAGTGAGCAAGTGTTAAACATTATCTTTAACAGCAGATGAATCACACAAGTTACCGGGGGATAAGTTCATTTTATGCAAAAAGGTCTTAAGATACCTACACATGCCAGTGCGAAGTCAGTGAAGGATCATGATGACTTCATTCCATCTGCTAATGCCCCAACCGAAGATGGTGAAAGATGGTTCATGAGAATCTTCAATGAGGAATATGTCATTCTTTCCAGTTAATGACTGTTTCCAGTTTCGTTTGAGGTCAGATTTGAGATTACCTTTACTTTCTGATATTGATAATGGGACGGAGGTAATCATTTGAGCTTTTGGGGGGTTGCTGATTTAGCAAGATATTAGCTTTTTATTATCAGGTATTCCACAGTGACCTGGGATCCATTCAAACATTACCACAGTTCTTTGTTGTATGTTTTTGTGTGCATAGAGGATGTTGCAAGCTATCTTATTTTGATTTATGAAATAGCCTGCAAATCACTATAGCAGCCAGTAAAGGAATTTCATTTAGACCGGCTGCCCAACAATAAAAATGCACAGAACACGACTTTATCATGACGAGCGCCCTCTAACGTTATACCCCCGTTTTGAATTTGCACGGTCGGGCAATTGTTTTAGGACTTATGATCCCTTCCCCACTCCCCAACACTCTACTGGTTTCATTTGTGTCAACTTATAAGAGGGACAAGTAGAAATGTATAAGTTTGAAATAGAATGTCCCGGGCCTCTCATTAGTGCTTGTTATCCTAAGGGCCCTTGAAATTGGCTCAAGGCTTACATGTACGTGAAATTGTGGTTCCATACTATATTACATTATGATTATATTTGATTGTTTTGGGGAGGTGTTGTTCGGATGGGACGGTAAGGTAACAGTGCTGGTGTAATCATACTTTGTGCATCTTGCACAAAAATGTACCAAGCCTGCACCAATTCAAATCATATTTACTACATTCCCGCACACCTTTCATTTAATTCATTATTTGTCATTGCCCTTTCAGTGTCGGAAGGGTTGTTGTTTATGTTTGTCCATTTTGTTGGTCAGACTCACAAGGATACACGCTCGGTTACTGTGGCAACGACTGACATCACCAAGGTAGGCATTAGGCCTTATGGCAAGAAAAAAAACCAAAGAACTAATTTAATGCAGCTGCTATTAATATTTGAGCTACTGTCAAAACCGAAACGAAAACTAGTGACGCATCCCCTAAGCTTAAAATACAGTCTTCTACTTAGCCGGAAAAAACCGCAAAATCTTAATCCCAAAATCTCTCCCATCTCGATTTAGTTTTTAATCGGGACGAAAATATCTGCAAACCACGGTGTGACGTCATACTTGACCCGACATCCAATCTACACAATTTGTACGTGGCCGACGCTCATGTAATACGACCCTGTCAGGATACTTGGCTACGGCCGCCCATGGTACACAAGGATATGGGAAATGGCTGCTAGCGGCTTCCATAGAACACGTCTTTTTGAAAGTCGTAGCCGTACTATTGTTCGTAGTGCATGCAGTACGCGTGCTGCACTGGTTCATTGAATCGCAGTGTCATGCACCGGGACAGTAGAAGCGTAGACGAAAATTGAACTCGGTGCGCGAAAAAACTCCCTTCAAAAGCCAAACTCTGCAGCTTTGCAGAGGCCCCCGTATTTCCACCCCTTCCAAGATGGGTTCCGACCCACGCCTAGACGTGGCCAACTTCAAGAAGTTTCTGCAGGAGTTCAGCTCGACCCACGCAGGCACGGACAACCTGCCGTTTTCTAGCCTGACTTGCCACATGACCAAGGAGGAGATCGAGGGCGAATGTTTAGAGTGGGTCACCAATTGCCTTGTCGGCCAAAAGTGAGTCGAGCTTTTTCTTTCTAACTTAGCCCTGACCTAAAAGGCGTGCATTTTTACCAGAGTGCTAGACATTCCCGCGAGTCTGTTGAATGCTACTAGAGGACATGCCAGGTCAAGGTTGAATTTACTGCCCCAAAACATGAGTTAGTAAAATTGGTTGAGGAAACTCAACTTTGACTAGTTTGAGGAACACTTGATTTAGTCAGAGTGGAGGTACTGTTAGTGTTTACAACAAACCCGTTTACCAGAGGTGATATGCTGTGTACTTGCTTGCTAATTGTCATGCTGCAAACTTAATACTACGGTTCCTGTGTTGTGTTCAATTTTGGCTTTGTAAGAAAGGTCTAATTTGCATCAATATGCGATAGCAATTGTGCACAAGTACTATGTGCATCGTGCATGCATGTATTAAACATGTTAAAAGTGGCGAAAGGTGGAAATGGTCGTCTTTCATTGCTCTCTTCAAAATGACAGCTTGCCTGTTGGAAAGAATTACTCCATTGGACGCTTGGTTCCAACTTCCATGATTATATCTGAAACAAATACTTATCAATGTGGTCATTTTGTCACTTTCTGGACAGCTGCAAATATGAGACTACCTTTTTAATTTTGTGCATGAGTGCAATTAGGCAACTGAGTAGTACATATGTTTATCTTCATGTATCTTTCCAGGACTGTTTGCACTTCATCAAGGTCACAAACCAGTGATTTTTCCATACCTGTTCACAATCTGGATAGAAGCCAGTTCATACTGGATTACTGGATTACCTAGAGCACAGGTGCTTGGTGCACCTACATGTACATGTTTTTTTTGCAAAGAAGATTGGTCAGAAATGAGGGAAACGGCTCAGCTTTCTTCTACATGTAAATACATGTACGTATAGACTGCCAGCAAAGGGGTGCAAAACTGGTTGTGGTATTTTAGTGTCAACGAGCGTCAGCACTCACAATTAGCATCAACAAAGCATCAACAACTTGAAAATACCCTCTTAAGATTAAAAGGTGGTATTTTCATGTTAAAGAGATGCTTACATCTGCCACTATACAAGAAAAATGGTGAATTTGCTTCCAGATCCTTGTAGGAAAAACATTTATGGCGAGTCTGTGGAGAATTTTTACCCAGGTTATGGGATTTTTTAAGAATTCCAGTTCAAAATGCCTTTTAAAGCAAATATTAAAATTGACAGAAATATTTTATTAATTTGTTTTTATGTAGTTAACTTACCGTATGTATCAAATAAAAAAGACCTTATGTACCACATGTGGCTAAACTTCTGCTGGTCGTTTTTTAAAATTCAACTTTTTTATTCACATTTTCAACAGCGCTTCCAAACCCTTAAAGTAGTTCAGTGAATGTAATTCCTTTTGCTATTTACCGTTATGTGCATTGTTCAGTAATTTTTGCACTCGTACAAGTACATGCACCGGTATCTTGTAAGTTTTTATTAAATCAAGCGGATGCCTGGGTGATTTTGACCCTCATGGGCGTTTTAACCCCAGTGAGTGGGAGTTGGAAGCCTGTAATTGCATGCACACATTCCATATTCATTGTCAAAAGCAAAACTCACTGGAGTCTGCCACTAACGTGACATACAAGTAGAACCAGTTACCAGCACTCCTATATGTACGTGTGTGTTTTATTCAAAGACTCATATCTTTATTGAAATCCATAATCCGATGATGTACATGTATACATGTACATGTAGTGCTGTACATTCTGTAGGCCTTATGCGTACATGTACATGTACTGTACATATGTCGTAGCTGTGTAATATGTGCTGAGTAATGTACTGTACTGTATACATGATGTACATGTACATGTACCGTGTACGCTTACAAGTACACTGTGGTGAGGGACTTTGTCAGGCAGTCACCTGTGGGATGTGATTTAGCTTGTGAGCCAAAGTGGGCATGATAAGTGTGCGTAGTAGGGGGGGGGACTCCTTCATACTGCGATGGGGCTCTGGATGTCTTTGTCACACTTCCTGTCCTCGGTCAGAGATCACCGTCATGTTGTGGGTCACCAGCGAGTCACGGAAGGGCTTCCTCGTTGGCTGAAAATTGTGCCTCATACATGTCATATGTGACATACAGTATCAGCAATACAGGTGGGGGGGGTCATTTCAGGGTTTGCTGGGGAATTTGTAACACGGCAACAATCATGTTCAAGTCGGGTGCAGTCTGCTGTGCTGTTGGACAGGTTAACACAGTTTTTGCGTAGGAAACAGGTGCGCTACCGGTATGTAATTTATGAAGGTTCATGCCAATCAGTCAAAGTCAGGTACATGTACATTTACCCTGATGGTGCTCAGCACCAAAAAAGCTCAGGATCTACTTGTAGCGGTATATGACCTACATTGTAAATATTGGGACATACATCTGTACATTGACGTGATCCATATTTCGGTAGGTCTACATACATGTACCCGGTATAACGGTGCGTTAATCGTGGAATGAGCTGGTACCAGGACAGTGCTTTCTCAACTGAAAAACCACATCCTGTGCATTTGTAATGATCACAGTGATGGTGCACCGTTTCCTTTATCGCATACTACATGTAATTTCTGTTTTGCACAAGTGCACATGATGCATAAGGTATTGAAAGTTAACACCATGAATGGGACATTTTGTGAAATGAATTTGCATTCACATTCCCCCCCCCCTTGGGTGACGGTGTTTTCTCACTTGTGGAAAAAAGGCATGAAAAAATATTTTCCCAATTGTGTGAAAAGGGTTGAAAAATGCTTTCCCACTTGTGTGAACTGAAAATGCAGGAAAATCATTTCCCACGTACTGGAAAAGATGTGAAAATGTTTTCCCTCTTGTGTGAAAAAGTGTAAAAATATTTTCTCCCATGTGTGAAAAGGTGTGAAAATGTTTTTCCAAATGTGTGAAAAGCCATAAAAATCTTTCCCATTTATTTTAGGTATGAATTTTTTTTCTCCCATGTGTGAAAAGGTGTAAGGTGTGAAAATCTCTTCCCCGTTATCGTGAAAAAGTATGAAAATCGTTTCCTGCTGAAGGAAAAGTTTTCAACATTTTGTGAAATGAAAATGAATTCCAGAGGAAGACAAAAAGAGTGAAGAGAATTTCCCATTCCCAAGTTTATTTCAATTGCAGTATAAATACCGATTACTGTTGGTACCGGTATGTACCGGTACCACAGCACATCAATTGAACTGAGTTTGCATAGCGGACATGTACATGTACGTCCGATCATAGACGATAAACTTCATTTTACATGTGTAAGTACATGTATAAACATGTACAACATGCACATGTATGTATGTGAAAGCACAAACTCTCTGCCCCAAAGATGTGCTCTGCGACCTGAGCATGCACACTGCAGTTACACATCAAAAACTCCCTTAAGTAAACAGACAGAGGCTTCCCTGAAAATCCAGGGAAGTGGAGCTGTTGGTACAGATAAGGTCACTGGATCCCACTCACTGTCCTGATGTGTTAAGGCACTCAACTTTCCCCCAAGCTAACCAAATTACATTGTACATGTACTTGTACTTGCACAGATTTGGTGCAGTGTCTCTCTCCTCCCTTTGGGGAGAGTTGATGGTGAGAAAACGTCAAGGGAGTATCTCAGTCTGTGAGATGTGAAGAAAGACCATGATATATCATACTTTACATGAACCATTGCGACACCATAATCAGTCAATATCAGTGCACAAACTGAATTTGTCACACCACTGTGTGGCCCACGGTGCCATTGTGTACGGAGTACTCTGTTACAATGTCCCCGTGTCAGTAATGTACCCGGTATATACCGGTACCACGGTATTTTGTGCTTTTTGGAACATTTGTTTTATGTACAGTACATGTACATGTACATGTATGTAGTTGAAATTAATTTACCCAGTTACCATGGTTACATGTACATGTAGATGAATTTACATGTTAAAGTGTATCAGGAACTGCAGTGAATTTTGCACTTTTTAAAACAGTTTAAATTACTGGTACATGTATCTATCCTGGACAACTGAGGGTGCTGTTGTTGTGAAGTCCTCTAGGGAAGACATAGCCCATTGCATAGGCTTTTCTGTTCAAATTGTAAACCCAGAATTAACATTCCTGATGAAGGGATTGATGCCTTCTTATTGCTACGCACATAAATGACAGTAAATCAGCAAAGAAGAGAAAACTGACTTTAGCAAAAGCTACAAAAATGCAGGACTTTTTTGTGTAGAAACCATTGTAACGTTGAGGTATTTTTCCTGAGATGAAGTCACAGTTTTGCTCATGAATATGGAAATCTCATTAGCATAAAAACAAAAAAAGGGTAAAAAGTACCTTTTGAAATATTGACAAAAAAAAGGTTGAAAATAAGGTTAACAGAGACACAAAGGTGCAGTTTGAAGGTCTAAAACAAACTGAGTGTAGGGTTTGCAGACTACCCTTTGAGTGCAAATCTACACTTGGAAGCTACCGGTATTTTGGTTGACTTCAGTCTGTGGTGATCAGCTAAAAGTGGAGCCCCCACACCTGACATCCGCCCGGCAAATTGTGAGCCAACAACTGAGAGATTCGTGCCTGGCTGCGACATTTGATCGGTCACAATAAAAGGGAGGAGGGGGAGTTATTATGGAGCATGCATGGAACATGACCTGGATGGCAAAGCACAATGGCCCGATTAGAAATTGGATAATATCCTTTCATTACACCATAGCTGCTGTACATGTACAGATTATTTTCAGTTGGGAATACCCTTGAATAATAGTCGAAATCTGAATTGGTCACACCAGTGCAATTTCTCTGTTTAGATCTTGATTGATTATAGAAACCTGGCTGCATGTGCATGGATGCTTTTTTTTTTTTCATCATTGTTATTAAAAATCCATTGCATGGGCATGTATGCACGGGCCCTATGTAGTTTACATACCGGTACATGTATAATGTATGTACATGCACAAACATTTCATAGTAAATTGTTGATCAGGTATTTTTGACAAGTTTATAGCATACTGCCTTTCATTTACACACACCGGTAG